ATTTTAAGAAAAAAGAAATAGAAGAAGATAGCAGGAGAGGAAGAATGAAGGGGAGTAAGTCAGAGGGGGAGACGAACCATGAGAGACGATGGACTCTGATAAACAAACTGAGGGTTCTAGAGGGGAGGAGGATAGGGGGATGGGTTAGCCTGGTGATGAGTATTGTGGAGGGCACGTTCTGCATGGAGCACTGGGTGTTATGAACAAACAATGAATCATGGAACACTACACCAAAACAAATTATGTAATATATGGTGATTAACATTACAATAAAAAATTTAAAAAAATATATATAATCATCAAACCTAATCTTGTTAACTTCATCCTTTATCCAAATTAAATTTTCTAAATGAAATAATCATCAAAACAAAATAGACTCATCAAACTTTATCTTAATTGTTAACTTCATCTTTTTATCCAAATTAAATTTTCTAAAATGTGAACAAATAGCCAAATTGACTTTATTTGCAACTCTTCTTTGTTCATGTCCCTCAATTAGGGGTACAAAGAAGTTATAAGTGGCCAAATGCAAGCTCTAAGAAAAAAGGGACATGTATTATTTCACAGACTTAATAATAATTTCTTTGGTGGTGGACATATACTATATAAAATATAAAATTATTCTAATATGACTCTATTTTTGGTAGGTGTATCCTGATTGTTTGGCACAGGCCATCTATGCAACATTCCAGGAAGCATTTCCAGAATCGAGTAATCTTTTTAATGATGAATTTAAAGAGGATCTGGGGAATAATATTTTTCTTTGGTTGTCAGGTATGAGTATATCATTTACATATTGATCATTATTTTGATACCTAAAACTATTCGTATACAGTATCTTGTTTACTCCAGCTAAAAAAATTGGTAATTCTTTGCCTTGCAAAACATGCCATATTGGGCGCCTGGGTGGCTCAGTTGGTTAAGCGACTGCCTTTGGCTCAGGTCATGATCCTGGAGTCCCGGGATCAAGTCCCGCATCGGGCTCCCTGTTCGGCGGGGAGTCGGCTTCTCCCTCTGACCCTCTTCCCTCTCGTGCTCTCTCTCTCTCTCTCTCTCTCATTCTCTCTTTCTCTCAAATAAATAAATAAAATCTTTAAAAAAAAACATGCCATATTGATGCCTATGTTTTTAAAAAATAATTATTTTCTTCTGAAAGTTTTGCTATAACAAAATTAACCTTTAGAAGCCAAATAATTTTACAGACAATGGAATTATTATAGAAAAGTGAATTTCCATAAAAATAAAGATATACTATATATATTTATATTTGGAAAGTAAATAATTTGTTTCTTTGGAATGCTACTTACATTTTTATGGCAAACAATATTGGTTAAATTCTAAAGCTAACTGAGTTCCTCGCAGAAATACAATCACTAATCAAGGAAAAGTTGTTTTTTGAATCATGGTATATGTGTAGGGTGGGAGTGATAGGACTGAAAGGCTGAAGGGAAGGAAAGTCCTATCCTAGAGCATTTAGCTAGAGATTTAGGTACTTGAGTTTAAAACTAACATAGTTTCATATTCCGGAGTGACCTTCCCAACACTTTTTTTTTTTTAAGACTCCCTTACTCTTATGGACTACCAGAAGCTGTTTTCAAACAGTTCTTGTAAATCTTTTGATACAAATTTTGACTGATTTTTTAAACTGTTTTATACCAGTTCTTAGAAACCAAACCATTTCTAAAAGAACATGTTTCATATTTTCACAAGGGAGCCCTTGAGGGGTAAAAAGTAGAAAACAGCCCTGAGAAACCAACCCCCACTCAGTCAACACACACAGTCAAGAGTCTCCTAATTATAGAGAAAAATCCAACTAATTCTAATATAAGAAATAAAAAGGGAATGGACACAGCATTCATGCCAAGATACTATACAAAAAAATGTGATGAAGAACAGGACAACTTTCCTACTGACCTATTCTAGACTGTATTGTGTCCCCCAAAATTCATATTTTGATGTTCTAACCCCCAGTACACCTCAGAATGTGACTACATTTCAATATAGGACTTTAAAGAGGTAATTAGGTTAAATGAGATCATTTGAATGAGCCCTAATCTAATAAGACTGGTGTCCTTAAACTAGGGAGACACCAGGGATGTATATTCACAGAGAAAATGCCATGTGAGGACACAGCAAAACGTTAGCCATCTGTAAGCCAAGGAGAGAGGCCTTACGAGAAGTCAAACCTGATGGTACCTTGATCTTGGACTTCCAGCCTCCAGAACTATGATGAAATAAATTTCTGTTCTTGAGGTCCTACGGTCTATAGCATTTTGTTATGGCAGCCCTAGCAAACTAATACAGATTTTTAATACTCAATAGAAAAAAGTGAACAAAAACATGAAATTTTTAACCCAGCAATTAAAAAATGGAACACAGCAGATATGTTGTAATCAAACGTTTTAACAAAAACTTCTAAGAAATAATGAAACAATCATAGTTGTAAGGGGAGAATACAAATTGGAAACATAGGAAGTCCATGGAACTTCCTATGGGAAGAACCCAGCTATACACACATACACATATACATGAAATCACCATGTTAACCAAGAGATAGAACATATCCAGAATGTAGTTCCAATTTTGGTTTCTGTTTTACCCAAAAGTCTTCTGAGGTAGTGCCTTTTAATGGCAAAGACTTTTGTGTTTATATTTTAGTTATTAATGTCTACTTTTTTGCTTTATGTTAAAGACTGTGGCTTGGATCATATTTGGAGTTTGGAAGTTATTGAGTTATTTCTATCATACACAGCAAAATATTATAAATGGTACCTAGTGACTTGAAAGCAAAGATATATTCCTGTTTGTCAGAAATAGGATTCTATATATTCTCTGTGTGGTTGCATAGACTAGTAGACGTGTGTTTCCATAGGATTTTATTTGTATTTCCAATGGTTTTAATATGTGCTGTGTCTTTAATCAATTAAAAATCCCCTTTCTCTTATAAAAATATATGAGTTCACAAAAAAGAGAAATATTCTTTTTCTCTAACAAATCTTCACCTGATACAGTTTAGATATATCTTTTACTCTTAAATTTACAATGAATAATTTTTAGGGATTATAGCTACCAGTAATCTAATACTGAATCAATTTTATAGAGACATAAAATTAGATTTTTTTCTAGTCTTTAATTATAGTTATTATGTTATTATAGTTATATGTTATTATAGAGGCAAATATATTGATTTGACTTCTATTCAATGTTATCTAACAAAATTTAATATTATAGGAAGAATTCCTTTACTCTTGCCATGACCAGGCAAGGATCAATAGGTAAGTTTTAGGGTCATTGTCATCTTAACTTTATTGAGTCATCCAACTCATGAAGAAAGCATATCTCCCTACTTATTTAGGATTTTGGTAACTTATCTCAGTATATTTTATATTTCAGCATATAAATCTTGTACATATTTTATTTTTCCTAGACATTTGGCATTTTCAGAGTGTTATTAGAAATACTTAAAATTTCAATTTCAAACTATTGCTAATGAATTATAATTTACCTTTTAATTTGTATCCAGTGATTGATAAAATTCGATCCGTAGTTTATCTGTACATACTTTTGGGTTTTCTGCATATAAAATCTTATCCTCTGCAAAAAAAATTTCTATTTCTTCAGTTTCCAGTTATTTCACTTCATTTTTTTGCATTATACTGAATACAACTTCATAATTAATATTGACAGTGCTCACTTCAGCAGCACATATACTGTAATTAATATTGACAATTCCAAAGGTACCTCACACCTATCAAAATGACTAAAATCAACAACACAAGAAACAACAGGTGTTGGCAAGGATGTGGAGAAAATGGAACCCTCTTGTACTGTTGGTGGGAATGCAAACTGGTGCAGCCACCGTGGAAAATAGCATGGAGGTGCCTCAAAAAGTTAAACATAAAATTACCCAATGATCTAGCAATTGCACTACTAGTTATTTACCCAAAGAATGCAGAAATACTAATTCAAAGGGATATGTGCATCTACAATAGACAAATTATGAAAACAGCCCAAGTGTCCATTGACTGATGAATGGATAAGAAAGAAGTGGTGTACACACACATACACACACACACACACACACAGAGGAATATTACTTAGCCATAAAAAAGAATGAAATCCTGCCATTTGCAACAATATGGATGGAGCTAGAGTTTTATGCTAAGTGAAGTAAGTTCAGTCAGAGAAAGACAAATACCATATGATACCATTCATATGTGGAATTTAAGAAACAAAACAAATGAGCAAAGGGGAAAAAAAGAACGAGGCAAACCAAGAAACAGACTCAACTATAAAGAACAAACTGATAGTTACCAGAAGGGAGGTGGGTGGGGGGATGGGTGAAATAGGTGATGGGGATTAAGGAATGCACTTGTGATGAGCACTGGGTAATATATGGAATTGTTGAATCACTATATTGTACACCTGAAGCTAATATTACACTGTATGTTAACTAACTGAAATCCAAATAAAAACTTGAAACAGACAACAAAAAACTTAAAAAAAATTGAAACCTACATTTTCTTAGAATAAAAGGCTGACATGCTGGTGGGAGTTTAAATTAGTACAACCCTTTTGGATAGCTGCCAATATCTACTAAAACTGAACATATACAGACTTTTAACCTGGCATGTCTACGATTCCCAGGTACATCCCTTACAGAAATGTACATGTTTCTGTACACCAAAGGTACAAAATGTTTATAACAGCACTATTTATTTGATAATCAAAACAAATTGTCCCAATGCCCATCAATAATATGAAGTTTAAATAAATTATGGAATATTCATATCATGAAATACTGCCAGCAATGAGAATGAGCAAATTACAATTATATTCAACAGCATGATCAAATCATACAAACATAGTTGAGGGGGGAAAAAAGCCAGACACAGAAGAGTAGATCCTGTATGAATACACTGATAAAAAAAAATCAGCATTTGGCAAAACTAATCTGTAGTGTTAGGAGTGAAGATAATAATTGTCCTCGGAAATGGGTGACTAGAAAAGAGAGCTCCTAGAGTGCTGAATATTGTTTCTGGGTGCTGGCAACATGGACACCATGTATTAAATTCAAAATTCATTGAGCTGATCTGTACATTTTTTAAGATGTTTATATGCATTGATAGAAAGTTAAGTTGAAAACAAAGCCTGCACGAGAGTCTCTGTGGTTTTTTTTAAATCGTGAATATGTTTTTATATATTTCTATCCCATTGCTTTTCTCATAGTGCCTATCCATCAAGAGTCACATGCTTCCTGAGTCTATCCTCATAAATGACCTTTTCAACTTTTACTACAATTTATCTTTCACTTGTGACTATTTTGCTTTGGCTAGAGCACTTGTAGAAAGAATTTTATAAGACATGTTTTTCTAATTTCTTTATTGAGGAAAGGTTTATATCATAGATCTAAAATACCAAATTCAGCATTCTCTTCCTTAATGTATCAAAAATTTCTTTTTCAGGATGAAGTAATCACTATTAGATGATAAAGTAATTATCTCTTAGGTAATTAATCACTTGATTTTTCTGTCTTTACATTATATATTCAATTCCATTGCTTACACTATCAGTTGGCTTTCATTTTTTTTCATTTTTTTACAAACAAAATTTTTATTACCAGAATTCCTTACACACAGTAAGAAAACAGAGTGCCAGAGACTCTGTTATTTTCCTCTTACTACTGTAACAAAATTACCAGTTAGCAATTTAAAACAACACAACGTATTATCTTACACTCCTGCAAGTCAGAAATCCAAAATGAGTCTCACCAG